TTTTTTGCGCAGAACCAGGGATTGAACTCAGATCACTCAGATCCTTGCGTTTGCCAGTCAAGCCCTTATCCTACTGAGCCATCTCCCCGGCCCCTCTTGGCACTATTTTTACCAACACACTAGCCTGTTGGTTTAAAAAAATATATATACCTAGATATAATAAAATATAGCCAACCCATTACTTTATCATGGTCATCTTTATTTTATTTGCAGTGAATTCCACAGCTTTTTGGCATCAAAAAATTCCCACTGATTTCTGTCTCTTTTGTTTGTACTGATAGTGGTGAAGATTTTTCTTCCCCACAACATTTCTCATACTGTTGGCAGGCTGGGGAGGTGGAAGAGACAGAAAATAGTAGGAAAAAGAAAGGTGTACATTAATCCTGGAGCTTTGAAGAGAGAAAGGGGATGGCTCCTCACAGTGCATCCTGCTGGAGCTAAGGAGCCACTTGAGAGGCAGGGCTCTAACTCCAGCTGACTACCCGTAAGCACACAGGGAAAGAGCCCCCCATTTTCTCGGACCCCCCATCGCAACACCTGAGACTCTGCCCTGAGATCTCGCTTCTCAAGCTGCTGCATCTAACCTTTCCACACTCAGTCAAAAGCACATTCTCCTTGCCAGCAGCCTGCAGCATGACACCACAGTGCCACACCATTACAAGCAAGGACAGGGACATCCCTGTACCACTTCACAGGCAACACAGCACCAGCAGAAGACACCAGTGAGAACTCAAAGCCTGTGAGGATGATGCCAAGAAAGGCCAAAACAAGATGGCAGGCAGAAAGGTGAGCCCCCATCTTACGGGTGATGAGGTACCAGTGGCGGCTCTAGCATTGTCTTGATTTTACTTCATTAATTCAGCACCAACCCTATAAACTGTATCATATTAAAACATGAGTAAAGGAAAGTTTAGAAAGCTTAAATAGCTCTCACAATCACCACTAGATGCTGCTAATTAACCCACCCACCATCTTTGGCATGAAATATAATCAATCCTCCATTTCTCCAGAGGAATGAGGGTCCCACCAAATGGCAACTTGGAACCCCCAAGAGAGTGACATTTTCTGTGGCCCTCTGGTATAGAAAAGCATCCAAGAACTAAAGAGACTCAGGAAAAAAATTATTTTCCACCATGCTCCAAATCACACAGAAGTCAGTCGTATCCGGAGAAGCTGATAAATCTATCCAGGCAAGTCTGAGGAAGGGGTTTTCCTCTTTAGGAAAGTTTGAGCAAAAATACCAAAAACAACCTCTCTATTTCTGAAAGTTACAAGTATTAAGAAGACTCACCTCAGTGGCAGGTTTTTTTTTTTTTTTTTTTTTTTTTGCACCCACCGGAAAAAAATCAGCTACTTTTAGCTCCGAGGCATTTTCCACAAGGTAAGCCTTATAGCTGCCCATCAAGGGCCTGGGAGCAGGTTGGGTGGGTGTTGGATGACCTTCCAGACACTGTACCCCATCCACCCACTCAGGTTCGCTGTACCAAATAAGGCACTGAGCAAGAGTGAGTGAAAATATGGAGAATCTCCTCAAGCTGAGCACATCACCAAGCCCAAAGGTTGACGTGAACCGTGATCATCGATGACTGGATTTTGGGGATCATTCACCAGGTCCAGTAAGAGGGCATTAAGTAGCAATGGCCCTAGAGTTTACAATGAAGCAGGCAAACACAAAGCCACCGCTAGATTCTCTCTGTCGCTGACTCCACTTCTTATAGCCATGGCCGCCCCCTTCCGCCAACATGTCCCATTCTGTAGCCATGATCTCGTTCTGCACTGGATGGCTCCAACAGCCAGAAAGTACAACACGGTTAAGTCTGAATGAGAGCACAGCACTGCCTCTATCTACACAACCCTGGAAAAGACCCTGCGTCTGAATTTCAGCTTCTGCCTACATCAAAGAACATCTCTGAATTCACAGGCTGTTGTAACAAAAACGCAGCACTTGGTACTGAACCAAGCATGTCACTAGAGCTCAAAGAAAGGTTATCTCACAGAGAAGGAAAGGGAAGCCAGAGCTAGCCTGACATGGCATTTAACTCCACAGAAGGAGAAATGGAATAAACATCAGGCTTGCGGCCTAGACAACCAAGACTTATTTATTCCCATCCTTCCTCCTTGGATTAAGATTAAATCAACTGCTCCTAAATGTGTTTGTAGGAACAGTGAATGAGGGCAGGAGAATGAACGTGAAGGTTTGGCACTCAGGACCCACAGAGTTCCTGCAGCCTACATGGCGTCCAGCCTGCACCATGAGCCTAGATTGTACTTACTAAGTTACCTTTATAGGAACCTGAAGCTTGCAAACTCGGCCACGGCCAGACACCTTCACCCCAAATCCACTTTTCTGCTCCACTGCACTTTTATCAGTCATTCCGAGCAAAGAAGCATGAATGAAATGGCAGAAAAACCAAGGCAGAGCCCAAAAGACTCCCAGGGTAGGGCCCTGTCAGAACCTGGACCCATGAGTTCCTAATGCTCTGCGAATACCCATGTCCTCTCATTGCCCTTTGAAAAATGTAACCCCCCAGGACATCAGAAAAAGGGTTTTGTTCTTGTTTTGTAAGAAACAAGGGAGCCAGGTAGTCAGATTTGAGGGCAGCGAGGATGTGAATAAAGGGTGTCAAGGTTAGAATGAAAGGTGTCAAGGCTAGAATGAAAGGTGTCAAGGCTAGAAGTCCAAGCACAGGCACAGGATGGGGGGCACCTACCTGTGCTGCTCCACAGCCTCGTTGTCAGGAAGCTCCACCCCGCACACGCTGCACTGCTCCCCAAGGGGCCGGCTCTCTGACTTCATGCCCACCGCCAGCTCACCCAGCTTGCTGAAGAGCTCCCTCTGGATGAAGCCCTGGGGCAGCAGGCCCCCGTAGGTGCTAAAGTCCATTGAGACAGCCAGGGCAGGCTGCACGTGCAAGCCAGCGGTCACTGAAGACGGCATGCTCAACACAGCATCGGCCTTGTGGTTGGGCAACACGGAGTAGATGCCCAAATGTTTCTCTGCTGGGGGGACTGGAAGCTCTGGCCGGCCGGGGGGACCCTGGCCAGCCTCAGCCAATGGTGGCAGCTGTTCAGCACTCTCCTCTCGTCCATAGTGCAGCTCCCTAGCACTAGTGATGACACTGCTCCGAGTCGGCGTCCCCGGTCCCTCTTTTCCCCTTTCTTCCACCTTGTCCCCGATCCCTCCTGAGATGTTGGACTCAGCTACCCCAGGGCTGTTCTGGCCAGGTACCTCATCCACCTGCATCATCTCCGTCTTTACCTCAACCATCCCAGGGTGTCGGCCACCCCCAGCCAGTGTTGCCTCTTCAGGCCCTGCAGGCGGCTGCAGAGTTCCCTGCAGGAGAGTCTGTCCTATGGTCATCAAGCTGTCCACTGCAGCCTTGGTGGGACTCATGGCCGACAGACCAAATGAGGCAGAAACTGAAGGGCTCTGGTCCACCATGGGCCCAGGAAGGCTCTGTCCAGCCACACTGGCATACCCACTCTCTTCGCTGGAATGCTTTGAGAGGAAGATGTTCTTGAGGTACCGAGCCTTCCGGTCCTCTTCTTCCTCAGCCCCGCCGTCAGCCATGGTGGCCTCTGTGTCATTGTCATCTGAGGCCTGGATGGTCTCCAGGATCTTTAGGCACTGCTCCTCCAGGTACTCGATCTCCAGGATCTCGGCAGCGTACAGCAAGTCATCCAGGTCCTCTGCCTTGGCTTGCAGCGTGGCGGTATATGCATACTCCAGAATCTGCTGGAAGGTCTTTGGCGAGAGGAAGTCCAGGGTATAGTGCTGGCTGTTACGGTGAAAGAGGATCTCAAACATCTTGCTGGTGCAGGCCAGCACTGTCCGGTGGGCGTGAAATTCCTGGCTATCCACCATGATGACCACATCACACAAAGTCCCAGCCAGCCGCATCTGGTTGGCCTTGCACAGCAGCCCTGTAGGGTGGCTGGGGTTCTGCAGCTGGATCATGCCCATTTTTGTCAGATCCATGGTGCTCCCCTCGGCTCAGGCATGGGGCTCCCTTTCTGTGCTCTGTGTGATAGGGCAGGGTGGGCTTCCTGGGCCAATGGAGGAGGCTAGAGAAAAAAAAGGAAAATCACGAAGATGAGAAGACAAATGACAGGTCTATTACTATTTCTAAAAGTAAAAACTCAAACACTACAACATGCTCCTACCCACCAAGCTCCCAAAAAGAAGGCCTTAAAAACTAACAGAAGGGATTCCTAGAAACCTACAAATCTGCCTTTAAGAACCCAGGCATGATAGAGTAAGAGAAGGTCCTGCTATCAACACATGCTTAACTTGCTGCTCTCGGCATCTGTTCCTATAAGTGAAATGAGAACTAGTGAATCCAAACCATTCCTTAAGTCAGAAAAGGGAGTTTCTTTGCAAGACCAAACTTCACTGTGAAGAGATGCCCAAACATTTACTTGCTCCAGTCAACTTAAATCCTCAACTTCACTGTGACTCCCTGCACAGCAAACCTCATCTTCAAAACAAGGTATTTCTGACTCTGCCTCACTGTTTGCAGCCTGGGGGTAGAAGAGCAAGTCAAATCCAGCTCGCATCAGTCCTATCAGTCCTTCCACTCTACTCGGTTACAAAACACTGATAGATCCCGGCCCTGCTCCCCTCCTCAGAAGAAACACAAACACGTTAGCCATGCACTAGCCTGTTGTACATGTAATGCAAAATCTCCTATGCACAGGTACCTTGAATTATTTTATACGTATCACAATACCTGGACCGTGTGTACCTACCGGCCAGAGAGGGTATGTTAACACATCTGTAGCTATACTTATGTGAGATGCTGCCCTTACCCCTCCCCTGCCTGCCTCTTGCAGTTACCCCTTCTGTCCAGTGGATAGAAGGACCTAAAATGGAAAGGAAGCTAGGTAAGAGATGGCAGGGAAAGAGATCACACATTGAAATGTGTTCTGCTACAGCCAGGAATGCTTATGCCGGGCTGGGTGTGAACTGCAGTGTGTCCCACAGGCTTGCGGGAGTTGCCAAGTCCTATGACCAGAAGCAACAATTGGTGCTGGCTATGGCTTAGCGGCCCTGGAAGTGATACTGGCACCAACATCCACAGTATAGCCTGGAGCCAGTATGAGGAGACAGGGCTAGGAGACAAAGGCCTCTCCTAGAGTCTGCTCTGAATCAGTAGGGGAGCTCTGGGTCTCCGCACCCCTTTGGAGCTGACAGAAAGCTCCCAAGGACACAGGGCCCTCCCAGACTCCCTTGCTGTAGCCACTACCGCGGTCAACAGCTTGGGTGTATAAAGCATGGGCACTTAATCACTCTTCACACTACGTGTGCCTCCACCCCAAAAGGAGCCCTATAGACTCCAGGGCCACAAAGCTCACGCAGAAGGGGTTAACATGACCGCTGATGCGGACACTTCTGCTGCCCTCCCTGGAGATCAGTGCCGTCAAGGGTGGGCTCACCGTTCCTCCACCGTGAGCTTTCCTGTAGGCGCCAGTTTCAGAGAGAACTAAGAAGGTAAAGCCCAAAGAATGGAGGGTTGACGACCCAAATTCCTGGCGCAAAACAAGCTTCTGGGTCCTGAGCGCACTCAGAGCGCCGACGCCCAAGGTCTGGCTGGCGCTGGTTGCAGCGTCCGGCCTGCCCCGCGGCGCTGGGGAAGCCAGCGCTAACACACCAGAGCGCCAGGGATGAGCACGCGCTCAAGCACCCTAGTTCCCACAGACCCCAAACCGAGACTTGGAGATGACTCCGGCAAACTTGGGGAAGCAACTTTTCCCCGGGAGCCAGACGCCCGAAAAAAGACAGTCAAGCTAAAAAAGAGAAAAAGGAAACGAGACCCGGCAAAAGGCGAGAGTCGGGCATGCTGGAGACGGAAGCAGGGCAGCGAGGTGGCAGACCCTACCCTCGGATAAGGAAAAGCACAAAAGCCCTTCGCTGAATGCAATGGGAAAGGCGAGAAGTCTGTGGACCCTCCCTCCACGACCCAGGGCCGTGACCCCCAGAGAACGACTGGCAGAGTCCCTGGCCGCGGCACCAGTTCCCCACGCGCCGGTCCCATGCACGTTGCGAGCGTCCCAGAGAGGCTGCAAGCGAGTCGGCGCGAAGCGCGACAATATTTGTGCGGGTCCGCAGGCCAGCACGATCGCGCGCGTTTCAGGCGCGTACGGGAGTGAGCCCGGCGCCGTGCGAGCGGGCCAGCGGCGCGCCGGGCTCGGAAAGACATCCCGGACGCATCAGGTGCAGAGCCGGGCGCCCACCGCGCGCGGCCGTGAGCGCATGGCGAGCTCTGGTGCCACGGCCAATCCCACCGAGAGCCGAAGAGGGCCCGGGGCGCTGGAGACGCGCCGGAGCTTTCCTGCCACCTCCGAGAGTCGAATCCAATCACAGAACGAGCCCAGCACGTTTCTTCAAAGAGAAACAAAACCCAAGCGAGTTCCAGCTCTGCTCCCCTCCGCCCCTAGAGCCGCTCGCCAGTGTCTCGCGTTCCAGCTTCCCAGCTGGCCAACACATAAACACACAAATAATAAACCACAAGCCTGTCTCCCGCGTGCACCGGTCCGCATACATGAGCGCCCACCGGTCCTCGGCTCCTGCGCCGGCCTCTGGCCGTACAAAGCCTCCCGCCCCAACCGACCCTCGGCTCGCCCTCGGCCCGGCGGACCGCGCTGCCCCCACCTCTCACCCGGTCTGTGCCCCGGAGAGGAAGGGCTGGGAGGCAGCTGCGCCGGAGCTGACAGCCGGCTCCTCCGGGCTGACCCCAGCAGGCGGCGGCGGCGGCGGCCACAACGGCAGGAAGGAAACGCGCACCAAGCCCTCGGCAAGCGGCCGCAGCGAGCGCGCCCCCAGACCGCTCCAGCCCCGGGGCCCCGCGCCTGGCGCTCGCCGACCGGCGCGCCCCTCCCCGGCCCCTACTCACCGCGGCCGAGCCGGGCGCCGCAGGGTGGGTGTGCGCGCCCGCCGGGGGGTGTGCCCGAGCCGGGAGGGGTGTTGCTGGGGAACTGTTGCTCGCGGTATCAGGGCGGCAGCGCCCGGCAGTTCGCAGTACCCGCTCTCATCGCCCTCAACTCCTCTCTGCCGCGAGGTTAGCAAATCACCACCGGCGGCGGCGCCTCCGCCGCGTCCCACGTCAACGCCGAGCCCCCTCCCCTGCGAGGCCCCGGCGCCTCTCCATCTTTAGTGCTGGCGGCCGAGCCCGGCTCCCTGCCCACAGCTGCCCCCCTCCGCTCCCGCCCCGGCCCCCGCCCCGCGCGGACCGAGCCGAGCGCGCTGCTCGCCCCACCCCCGGCCCCTCCCCTCGGCTCGGCGCCCGGGGCTCCGCCTGACAAGTAGCTGCTGCCGGCTCCGGCCGCCGCGGCTCCCGGCTAAGTGAGAAGACCCCAGGGGCTGGCGGGATGCGGGCGAGGGACCCGGGGCCTTCGGCTGGAGCCCGCGGGCGGGAGCCGCCCCCGCTTGCCTCAAGTTCTTAATTTCCACGGCTGCTGCTAACGCCCCCCGGTGCTCACGCGCGGAGTTTTGCTCTTGTCTCAATGTTTGCCCAATTCAGTGAGTGACATCTCGCCTTTCGCTTTCCTCAAGACTCGGGTCTGCATCCCCAGGACCCTCGACAAAGGTCACTTCCCCAGCCCAACAAGCCCAGACCTGCTAAGCTTTCCAGTTACTGCCAGCCTTCGGGCATGAGCACCTCGACGTAGAGAAGTCTCGAGGCGCAGTGGGCTTCAGTGAGCCCAATGCCCGGGTCCGCAGAGACCCCGATCGATGTGAGCTGTCGCCATAGCCAAAGAACAAGGTCAAGGCCCGCGAGAAACTTTACTCCCGCTCGGTTCTGGGCGTCCCTTCCGCTCCCCCAGCCCACCCCCCAGCAAGGCGGGTGGCAGTCGCGGAGAAGCCGAGCCCCGCCTAGCGCAACCTGCAGGGGTCGCGTGGAAGAGTGGGAAGGCTCGGGGCTGCTCGGAAGTGCGTCCGCGTCCCAGCCGGCCGCCCCCCCGGAGAGTGGGGATGAGATCGTTCAGCCCTGTATGGATGCGTTAGAAAAAACGAGCCCCTGGTCGCCCCCGAAATTCCCCTCTCCCCCTTCCGTGGAGCTGGGCGCAGGCAGGGACTAGCGGCGGGAATCCCTGTGGGTAGTTCGCGCGTTGGCTGTGCCCTCCGAGTCCGGGAGCGGAGTGACGCGTGCGGACGTGGCGGACAGCGCCATCCAGGGGTCTCAGATCAGCCATCCCCGAGGTCAAGCTGCGAATCCTGAGAACTCTGGCCAGGGAGCCAAAGGTTTTCTGCAGGACTCGCGAAAAATCCCATCTTGAGGCGCGCCTGCCTCTTGCGATGCCCCTGTAGGGGACAGAGGCCCAATAGACGCAAAATCCCGGAAGGCTGAGTGGCAGAGTTAACACCTGGAAACTGATCCAGGCTCACCAGAGCTGCTGATGGGGTGGACCTGAGGCCAGGCCGGTCCATCCCAGCAAGGGACACGCCAGTCTCCCTCCCCCAAGCGGTGCTCAGCTCAGAAAAGCCAGGCAGGGAATCAAGACCCTTTGTACAATGTCCAGTGCTCACAGGGGGGCAGGGGGAATCTAGTTTCCACGTACGCATTTGGTAACTAATAAACAGCCTGTTGAGTCTTTTTTCTTTTGGGGGGGGGGGTACCGGGGATTGAACTCAGGGGGAAGCGCTTATTCCACTGAGCCATCTCCCCGGCCCGAGTCTTTTTTTCTAGCTCAGACCTATATACTGTAAGAAAAAGGAATCTAAAGAAAGTTGAGAAAGAACTGGTGTGTAAGGAGCCCAGAGTGAAAAGGCTCCCCGTGCCTCACCAGTGAGAATGAGGAAAGACTCATTAAACTTGCTGCGCTTCTGCTTGCTAGAGGCTGTTGGGTAGCCCCACGTAGGTACCAGTCTCTCCTCAGCATAGTAGTAAGAGAAGCAGGCAGTTAACCCCTGATCTCTAATCTATTAATCCTCAAACCAGAGAAAGAGAATCTCTGGGAACAATAGTAGAGAAAGAACAATTCCTCCATTACCCTGCCCCCCCCATGCCATATTCACTCTATGTGAAAATCTCCCTTGCTTCATAAACTCTGCCCATTAAAAAGCCCAGTCCTTGTTAGTAAGTGTTAAAGAGAGATTAATGCCTGAATTTAAGAGGTGGAGAAGGTAACAAAAAGGGAAAAGGCAGGCAAGGCTGTGGGCTGAGTGCCAGCGTTGGGCTCTGAGCATTTCCACTTAGCACAGAAGGCTGGCTGCACAGCAGTTTGATAAGGTTTATTGGGCCCAGATAAAGCAGCAGCGGCTCCCCCACCAAAACTGGCACCATTTATAGCCAGAGCTGTGTCCTTGGCTCCTGGGAAGATGGGTGAGAATCCCCAGTTGAGAGATTTCATATGGCAACACCTAAAAACAAGCAGGATGGAAACTTAGAAGGAGAAATTTAGCCTCTCTCTGTCTCTATGTATCTCTCTCTTTTTCTCTGTGTGTGTGTATCTCTGTCTCTCTCTGTCTCTCTCTGTCTCTCTGTCTCTCTCTCTCTCTGTCTCTCTCTGTCTCTCTCTGTCTCTCTGTCTCTCTCTCACTCTCTCTGTCTCTCTCTGTCTCTCTCTCTGGATACTGTAAAGAAAACTGGAACACATCACCTCTCCTAAAAATAAGACCTCAGTTTTAGGAGAGGCCAATGCCGGAGACCACTACAGTGAGCTGATCCTCAGATACAATGCCATTGCTCAATCTTCTTCTCTGGCCTCCCCATCTACACAGGGCAGGCATTGAGCTCAGAGTAGGGGCCCAGGAGATGGCTCAGTAGAATAAGTGCTTGCCTGGCAAGTGCAAGGGCCTGAGTTCACTCCCCAGTTCTGAAAAAAAAAAAAAAAAAAAGTTCAGTGGAACAGTGGGCATTTTAAGCCTCATAACAGTCCTATTAATGCAGATGATATTATTCCCCACCCTTTTTTTTGCGGTACCTGGGATTGAACAAAGGTCCGTGCGCTTGCCACGCAAACACTTATTCTACTGAGCCATCTCCCAGGCCCTATTTTCCCTATTTCCACATATAAGAAATCTGAGGCTCAGAGGGGTCGACTGTCTTGCCCAAGACTAGATCTACCGGTTCCGCCAAAAAAAAAAAAAGGAAGGAAGAAGGAAGAAAAAAGGGAGGGAGGGAGGGAGGAAGGAAGGGGGGCCAGGGAGATGGCTCAGTACAATAAGCACTTGCCTGGCAAAGCACAAGGGTCTCAGTTCAATCCCTGGTTCCGCCTAAAAAAAAAAAGACTGTAGATCTATTAAACATCAGAGCTGATTCTTCCAATCAGGCCACGCTGCCGGCACAGCTGAAGCTCATTTCTAGAGTAGACAGCTTCTACTGAGATACATCCCGGAAGCAAGGCTTTGTTTCCTCTCACTCTGCTGAGGCCAGGTCTATGCAGCAGCCCACAAAGCTGAGGCCCAGATGTTTCTTGGTTTACTCACCAGCTAAGATCACCCAGGATCTCCACATTTTCCTTCCTTCCACAGCGTCTCAGGCAGAAGTTGGAGTGGGAGTTTTGAGTTATAATAAAACATCAACTAAGCAGATATTCAGGAAGAAGGTAATAAGTGTTCTGAGTATTAGTGAATGGGAAAGTAGAACTGTTTTGTTGCATCTCATTTCTTTTTATTTTAAAAAGAGATATTCCTATAGCTATAGATAAATCACGTATCGCTGTCTTCTGGGCAGCTACTTTGCATTTCTCCAAAACCTCTTAAAAAATGAAGAATGAAATAGGATGCTCCAGGAGATAAGGAGCCCCTGAGAAGAGCCGATGCTCCTCGGCCTGAGATCTCCAAGTGACTCTGGTACTGGTAAAATCTCAAAATCAGCCCCCATGGGGACTCTGAAGAAGGCACCACAGCCTATTGTGTCCTTTTCCTGGAGGCAGTTTCCTACAATCTTGTGTCCTTCAGATGACCATTCTAGATACCTAAGTAGGTGCAAGTGATGTCAGAAATTAGGCAGAGGTGGGATGTGCACATGTTAACACTTTTCTTTCCTCTTTATTTTGCTTCTGTTTTGTTTTGTTTTGTTTTGTTTTGTTTTGTGGAACCAGGGATTGAACTCAGGCCCTCGCGCTTGCCAGGGAAGCGCTTATTCCACTGAGCCATCCCCCCGGCCCCCTATTTTGCTTCTGTTTTAAAAAACATTTCAATTCTTTGATGTCACTTCATAGGTGCCCCCTCCAAAAAAAAAAAAAAAAAGGAGAGAGAACATCAGGTGACACTCATGTTCTGTTTATGGCTAAGAAAACCAAAAAGGGGAAGGTGATTCTTTAGATAAGCAATTTGCATCCTCTCTGTCACTTGGTCGTCGAGTATCCACATCTGTGATTCCCTTCCAGGTACTAGGACACCCTTATCGGAAGACAGAGTGACTTCTTAGAGCAGGAGCAGACATTTGTTCAGCCCTAGATGTCTTGGTCACTGTCACCCTGAGATCTCTGTGGTTGAGAATGAAAAAGCTTTCTCTTCTCTCTCTTCCCAGCATATTGCAAATGGTGTTGGGACCTAATGTTGTCAACTCAAATAGCAAATCTGAGTTGTTATTAGTGCAAAGATGCCCTGAGGGGCCCGGCAGTGTGGATGAGTTCTGCAACGGATGTTACGGGGAAGTGTGTTTATAATTATAATGGGATTTAATGTACACTGGGACCAGATGATGGGAGCCATTTAAAAAAGAGATGCTTAATAAGAGAGGTCCCTTAATGACAGGCAGCGGGGCTCAGGTTATTATGGAAAAGCGCAACGTTTCACTGGGTGTCACAAACCATGTGCCAGGTTTTATGGTGCTCCTCACAAAGCTTTGGGGTGAAGCACAGCCGCCGCTGCTGTCACCTATGGGGCACAATGTTTTAATGCTGTTGTCTCTGAAAGGGGCATCTGCAGTTGGAGAAAAGCTTTCATATTCACACACACACACACACACACACACACACACACACAGGCCCCAGGCCAACAGTGAATAGTTTTTGGTATTTCTGGAAATCTGCTTTGTTCTCAGAAAGGCAGCCTCGATTTCAAAACTAAAATTTTGTAGCTACCAAGGGGTACATTTTCCATAGAATGCGTGAAATGAAGCAGCGTGGCTCCCATTATAGGTGATGGAAGCCCCACAGCTGAATCCCCAGGCACTGCGCTCAAAATTAACCCCAAATCTTCATGGGGAAGCAGACTTTACAAAAAAACACTGATGTTTTGTTTGTTGGGGGGGGGGCCAGAAGGAAGGGAGAATCACGTCGCATTTTCTACGGTGTTGAACTTTGGAGTTGTTTGATGCAATGGATTTGAGCCCATGGCAGCTGTTTTGTAACAGGAGGGCGGTAGTCATGGACACAACTAAAAAGGGCATTCAGGGGTTGTCATGTAGGAGGACATCTTGTGCCTGGAGATGCCACTGGGGTACCACCAGTTAGGAATACAACTCCATATCCTCTATGAAGATGTGTTATTTTATGTATTTTTCCTTTGATGTAAAAGAAGTGTTGGAAGCCACTTTTTTAAGCAAATACACACCTCACACCACATGGTTATGGGTTTTTCTTTTTATCACAAAACGCAGTATGCCCAACAGACAGTCCTTGATGCATGATATGACCACGTATAGTGCAGCAGCATTTTGCTTAATGATGGGCCACACAGGGGCTGGTGAGATGGCTCAGTGGTCTAAAGCACCTACTTAGAACAAGCTTAGCAAAGCACAGGGACTGCGGTTCAATCCCCCAGCACCACATGCCAGCCAGCCCCGCCCCCTGGTGGGCTGAGCTGGCCACACACACACACACACACACACACAAAATAAATAAATAAATAAATAAATAAATAAATAAATAAAATGATGGGCCACACACGTGACCGTTGTCCCAGAAGATTGGATGACCTAAAGATGTTGTAGCCATCTTGAATGTGTATAAGGACACTCTATGATACTCATTTGACTAAGCTGCCTGATATTGTATTCTCTCAATGAACTTTGTTGGGTGATACATGATCATCTTCATTGATCCTGATGGAGGCAGCATAAGGTGAAGGCAAAGCACAAGGTAAGTGAAAGCTCAGCAACCAACCACACCCTCCCAGCTGCTGTATTTCTTTCTTTTTTTTTTTTCACTTTATTTGTGTGTGTGTGTGTGTGTGTGTGTGTGTGTGTGTGTGGCCAGCTCGGCCCACCAGGAGGCGGGGCTGGCTGGCATGAGGTCCCTGTGCTTTGCTAAGCTTGTTCCAAGTAGGTGCCCTAGACCACTGAGCCATCTCCCCAGCCCCAGCTGCTGTATTTCTGGAGAAGTTACTCTGTCCGTAGAAGTGCTATGTCAGGGGCTGGGGAGATGGCTCAGTGGGATAAGTGCTTCCCTGCCAAGATCAAGGGCCTGAGTGCAATCCCCAGTTCCGCCAAAAAAAAAAAAAAAAAAGAAGGAAATGCTATGTCAGGGGTACACACACCACAATATGAAATTATTTTACTCAAAGACAGATAACTGAAGCCAACTATATTAAAATTATGATAGCAAAACAAACCCTACCATCTTCTAGAGTAGAATTCCAAATTTGCGGGGTTTTTTTTTCCCCCGTAAGTTTTTTTTTCCA